CACTCAGTGAAAGTTGGTTTCTGGGTTGTTGTTTAGCTTCTATTTTTTTTACAATGTTCAAACTGCAGGCTCAGAGGCCTGCAAGGCAGGTGGGGAAGGTTGGTTTCCTCCTTCGCTGAAGGAAGCAAGCCTCATGTTAGTTTCAAGCTGCCTGGCTGCCGGCCGCCATCTTGGCTGGAAGTTAATTTGCATATCTCGCTGATTAGCCAATGGGAAGGGTAGCAGTCGTATGCCAATTACCATGTTTCTCTTTTATTAGTGTAGATTAGGACTTCTGCCATCTTAATTTCATGCTTTATACTTCTCATGTTTTCTCTCTGCTTTTTTGCCTTTCCTATTTTTTTGTGTGTAGATTGAATTTTCTCTGCTCATCTGAAATTTATATATAATTTTTCCTCTGTGTACCCTAACTTACTATGCCCCATATGTTCCCCTATCACTGTCTGTGTTTTAAGAGTCTCAACACTGCCCTGTCTCTTCCTGCTCTCCCCACCTGTGCTGGTTCCTCAGCAACTCAGTAATGGCAGCCCTATCCAATTGCCATCTTGTTCGGAACTGGACAAGGCTTGTTCAGGGCTGTCCTAGACGGGACTTCAGTGCTCAGTGGGGGTTTGATTTAAATGACTTTTTAAAAGGTCCCTGAGGTTTCGAGCAAGTTCTGAGTATCGTAGGTTCTTACAGGGGAGTGAGAGAGAATGGACAAGTCCAAGAGCTCTCTAGTAGAGCTGGGAACACCAGAGCTTCTGAAGTTCTGTTGTAGGCTGCCTTCTATTCTCTGCTTTTCTCTTAAGTGCTGTGTAGAATACTGTCCCATGACAAGCAGGAAAGAAATGAGAAAAAACCTTGGGGAGATGGAAGGGAGGGCTGGGGACTAGGTTAATGGGCATAGGCACACCTCATCCAAAGAGACAGCCATCACTCAATCCCACTAAGTCGTTATCAGTAGGAATATGGGTCCAGCATTGCCAGAGCTTCTGATTTTCAAGAGAAGCCAGGAAAATAAGTTTTCTATGTGAAATCTTTTGATTTGTATATACTGGCTCAAAAATGTTTATAACCTCATGCAAGCCAAACAACATGTCTGCAGACTGGATCTGGCCCAGACACTATCACCCATGACCTCTCCTCTGGTTAGTCAATGATTCTGTCCTTGTCACACTTGACATTTCTCCCTTCTGGATAAATGTCCCCCAAACGTGTTATTTCCTACATCCTTCTCACAGCCACCTCTTCTGGGCCCCTTTACCTTGAGTGCCATTCACATTACCATGTGCTCTTTCTCAAGGCCATCATTCTGTTAAGCACCTTAACCATCCCCTTGTTTGCATTGTTAACTTATCTAGTAAATGAGTAGTATGAAGGTAAACTTTGTTCTTTCCCCATGCGTGTAGGCACGTGATGTGGGTTTGGTTTTCCTGGAGCCTGTCTGCAGCTGGAGCCCATGAGTCCTGGTTCTTAGAAGTACGAGAAGAAACTGCCTACTCTCTCGCTGGGGCATGGACACAAACATCCCGTGCCAGGCCCCAGCTCCCAGTGCCTTCACCTTGCAGAGGGCAGGGCTTCAGTGTGGTCCAGAGCTCAGGACCTGTGAGCCTCCTTGGGATGGCCCCTCCTGCCAGCCATGGCCTCTGGATTGCTCTTGCCCCGAGTTTCTTTCCCATCTGGCTCTGCTCTTGCCTCATTCTGCCGGAGCGGCAGGAGCCTGTGGCAGCTGCAGCTTTATATACATTGCACAGTTGATGGCTGATTCCACAGTATCTCCTTGATAGGGAAGTGAAACAGCCACACCTGGTGGGGCCTGAACTTTTGGTGACAGTAGAAGTAGTTATGGAAACTGCCAAGGAGGGAGAAGTCCTCTCTGTAGCTAAGCTATGAAGAAAGCTTTTGCCTGGCCTGGTCCCACATGGCCTCCAGGAGTGGCTCTGATAACATGTGTCACCCCCCACCCCCACCTGTTTTTTCTTGGTGACAGCTGGAAGTAGCAGTGGTCACAACTGAAAGAGCCAAACATTTCTACAGCCCCCAGGACATTCCTGTCACCCTCTACAGCGATGCGGATGAATGGGAGGTCAGTGCTGGGGGTCCCCAGGGCTGTGTTCCATCATGTGTCTATCAACAGGACAGGACTGTACTCCTGCAGCCCATAGTCCTGGTGGTCAGAGCAGACAGACCAGGCTCATGTCAGCAGTTAGGGCCCTCAAGGCAGAGGTGAGGAGGAAAACAACTGTCTAGCTTCTGGCCTGTGGGAGGCCTATAGTCTCCCAAGAGCTCAGCTTTGGCCCTGAGCCTGAAGTTGAATGCCCTTGGGCTTATCTCGGCTGATACAACCACCGAAGAGCTCTGTTTCCCTCACCATGTCCCAATGTCAGGGCTGTCCAGAGTGCCTCACTTCCCACAGCCTACATCTGCTCTCTCTCAGAAGGGTGGGCACTGGCTGATTCACCAGACATTGAGTGTGGGCATCAAAGGGGTGCCCTGCCAGGCATTTTAAAACATTCTCCGCCTAGAACATTTCTGATTGGTCCGTCTTCCCCATTTCTTCCCCTCCCCCATTTCTCACTGCCTCAGACATTTCTCACTGTCCACTGGCTTAGACAACCCAAGCATCCGCCTCAAGCAGACAGGGCAGGAGTTCCCTGCCAGATGTCAGTTCTCTTGAAAACCAAACCATAAAGGGAACAGCTTGGAAAGACAAGGGGCATTTGTTTTCTTAGGCCTGGTTTCTCTCAGGCTATTGACTCTGCAGCCAATGCTCTCACCAGCTTAGCTGTGAGAGGGAGTGGCAGTGGATTTGGGCACGGTTGCTCATCAGGTGGTCTTCCTCCAGTTCCTGACTTAGTGTCCTTGGCCTCTGTTTCCTCCCCCCAGGTCTCCCTCCCCCCCACACACACCTCCTTCCCTCCACCAACAGAGTGGTCTGCCCAGTGACCCCATTTCTTTCTCCTTGCCAGATGTGGAAGTGCCGGTCCGACCCAGTTCTCCACATTGACCTTCGGAGGTGGGCAGACCTTATGCTGGTGGCTCCTCTCGATGCCAACACTCTGGGGAAGGTGGCCAGTGGCATCTGTGACAACTTGCTTGTGAGTGAATCCCTGTGCCCTACACCCTCCTTGAACCTCTCTCCCAGTTTGCTGAGCTATAGACTACCTTTGTGTAAGGTTCTCACCTTGGAATCCTTTTATCATGGTCCTTTTTGCTCAGAACACTGTCCCTCTGCCCCCTACCCATCTCACCTATGCTCTGGCAATTTGGCAGAAGGTGTGCTGGATGGATGGACTCGACTTGTGGGTGCTTTCTGAGGCTGTCCACCACTCACCTGCCCTTTGATGCTCAGCTCTTCTCCCTTTGTCCTTCATTCATGGGCTGCCATTCTGTCAGGCTCCTGGCCTAGTTCCATTGCCTGCCTTCTCACTGGGATCTGGATATCCACATGGGCAACTAATAAGAGTGCTTACTTCTTCATGGATGTTTCACACACATTTATCTCTTCTGTATTTAGTCACAGGTGGAGGTGCAGTTTTCCTATGTATCATGGAAAGCTGAGAGAGGAAAATAGGAGAAAGACAGGGCAAGAGTGTGAGCTTATGGATGATGGAGGAAAGGAGCACAAGTTCAGCTGTGCAAAGTGGGATTGATAGATCTTCAGGGACCTATTGTCCTTAAAGAAACTTTGTGTACTTGATCATCCTGGAAGGAGTTAGGCATGATCTCTCTCCTCCCTCTGCCTTATTACCCTACTTTTACTCATTTATTGAGCTTTTACCTACCATGAGCTGGACCCATGCTGAGAGACACACAGGACACAGGGAACTCACAGTCTGGAAGGAGAGGGTTTTTGTTCACTCATTCAGGTGAGAAGGGAGTATGCTCTGGTGTGTGGCCCAATCTTCAATGTTTCCAGTCAGTCCTTTGACAATAGAGTCACCACCTTGCACAGTAGTAGGCATATACTTATTATATGTATGAGATAATTAGTAATTTTACTGTGGCAAACAGCCTGGAGTTTTTCAGAGTTTAATATGGCGAAGAAGTGAATAACGAAGCTGGGTCAATATTTTGGGGGGTCAGATAGGTTAGTCTCCTCCTGTGCTTGGCACTTAAGGCACTTTGGAAGAATCTACTAGTGATTTAAGCATTATTTGAATAAGAACACAAGGTGACCAGAAGAAGGGCAGCACACAGATTGTGTGGCCAGAAGCAGGGTAAGGGAGTGCAGAAGGCTTCCCAGTGGGGTTGGTGCCAGGGCTGACAGGGCAGCTGGAGCCTGCAAGCCTCCTGCCACTTTGATTTAAGTGGGTCAGAGTTGTATGTTACCAGCACTGTTACCAAACCTCTAGGCTTCCCACTGCTAGTCAGCAGCTGGCTGATGTGGCGAAGCACACCAAGCTCTAGGAATTAAGCCCCAGCCTTAGGCTGCTCTCTGAGAGGGCTCCCTCCTTCGTCCTGAAAGTTCTGCTTTCCTTTTTTTCCTTGAAGCTGCCATTGCTCCTTGAAATCTTTGGAGTTCCCTCCTCCTGAGTTGGCTGAACAGTAGAATAAGTTCCCAAGACCAGCCCCCAGATCATTTTCCTCAAAAGGTTTCACTTAAAGGCAAACTTTTTTCCCCAGCCCCTATAAGGGTGCATGCGGGAGACAACCAATTGATATGTCTCTCACGATGTTTCTCTCTTTCTCTCTCTCTCTGTCTCTCTCTCTCTTCTCCCCTCCACCCTTCTACTCTCTCTGGAAGTCAATGTCAATG